TCTCCGGTACCAGGAACTGAACTCATGACCTTGTACTTGCCAGGCAGGCGCTTTGCCACTGAGCTAAATCCCCAGCCCCCTGCCTCAGCCTCTTAAGTGCTGGGATTACAGGCATGTGCCACCACATCCATAACCTTCTACCACAGAAAATTAGTTTTTTTTTGCCTAAAAAAAGAAGTTTTCTAAAGTAGTCTTCCAATGAACTGCTTTGTTTGGTTCTTGGAATTGGACTCAGGGCCTCACATTCTAGGAATGTGGTTTACCACTGAGCCTCCCTCCCTCGCCCCCGGCTAATCAACTTTTCTAAAATGAACGTGTCAAAGATTTTACTCATGACAAATTCATGACAAAACTAGCAAGAGATTACAATCAGTTCAATTAAAAATCCCACACATATAGAGATCTACCAGTGATGATGAGTTAAATGTACAGATTCTTGCCAGACACGGTGGGTATATAACTGTAATCCCAGCACTTGTGGGGCTGAAGCAGGAGGATCACCATGAGTTCAAGGGCAGCCTGGGCTACATAGTGAATTCAAGGCCAATCTGATGCTGTCTCAAAAAAAAAAAAAAAAAAAAATTACAGATTTTTTTGTGGGGAGGGAGGTACTAGGGATATACTTGGGGGTTGAACCCAGGGCCTTCACATTAAGCTATATCTCCACCCCCTTATTTTTCTTTTGAGACAGAGTCTTGCTAAGTCACTCAGGCTGGGCTGGAATCTGTGATACTCCTGCCTCAGCCTCCTAATGTGCTTGGATGTGCTGGGGTGTGCCACCACTCCTGGCTTGGCTTCTGTAGTTTGCCCTCTGCATACCCCATCTCTGGTAAGGGGACTGAGGATGCATGGCTGTGTTTGCCAGAGTCAGCTTCAACAGCAGGCTGGAGCCCATTCTATGGCTGGATTCCATCTCCCTCCATCAAGATCAGATATCCCACCCCCTCTCAGTCTGGGATTGCTGCCAGTATTTGACAGATTTCAAAACTTAGAGCAAGAAATTTCAGCCTTGAACTCAGTCCATTTAGAGGAATTGAAACTCTCAGACCTAAACAATAGATATAATGGTATCAAAAAGCAACAGCAATGGCGGCATATGCCTATAATTCTAGCACTTGGAGGCTGAGGCAGGAGGATTACAAGTTGAGCCCAGCCTGGACAACTTAGCAATTTAGTGAGATCCTGTATTAAAATAAAAAAATAAAAAGGGCTTGGGATGTAGCTCAGTGCAAGGGTCTGAGGTTCAACACCTGGTACCAAAAGTAGGGGATGGAAGCTAGAGCCACTTAGCAACAGTGTGGGGGTTGGGTACATAGTTCAGTGGCATGACGCCTACCCGGCAAGCTTGAGGTCCTGAGTTTGATTCCTGGTTCAAAAATAAATACATACATACACACATACATACATACATTGTGGAAGCCAGGCATGGTGGCACACACCTGTAATCCCAGCACTTGGGAAGCAGAGGCAGGAGGATCTTTGTGAGTTCAGGGACAGCGTGAGCTACAAAGTGAGCTCAAGGCCAGCCTAAACTGCATAGAGAGACCCTATCTCAAAAAGTCAAAAGAAAAAAAAAAAAAAAAGACATTGTGGTGAAATATATATAGCATGACTTTTTCATTTTAAATGCTGGAGTTGTACTAAAAGGGACTGGAGACATGGCTGGAGGGGTAGCATCTGCTAGGCTCTGGGTTCAATCCCCAGCATTGCAAAAGAAAAAAGAAAGCCCAGAAGATTTCTTTTAATTTAGTACTTCCTTTCCCCACTTTCTACGCCTGGACATCTCTAGTGACCCTTCCCCCATGGCTTTGCAACAGATTTGGAAGGAACTCGGGTAAAGGTGCCTCACACTCGGCCTGCTGCTCTTGACTACCATTGCCCCACTTTCTATACCTCAGGCCGCAAGCTAAGTTCCTTATGCTATTTTAATCTCATAACCCATTTTACATTCGAGGAAGCTGATGCTCACAACTAGAGAAATTTGGATAAAAATGAAAATAAAATAAATGTAGAATTTAAACAAAAATTTGAGCAGCTTGCTAAAGTTCACCTCCTTAACAAGACTGGATTTAGAAACCAGGGCTGGGATATGGTGTTTACCTAGCATGGTCAAGGCCCCGGGTCTGAGCCCCAGCACCACAGAGCCTAGATTCTCACTTGGGCTGTCTGGCTCAGGGTCTGTGCTCTCAGTACACGTCCCCAGGAGACATGGAAAGACACGAGCCTGGAGCAGAATGTCATGAAGGATAGAAGCATGTGTCGTACACAAACCTGCCTGGCCCAAAGGAGTATTAAGAAAAACACAGGACTGGGGATGTCACTCAGTGATAAAATGCCTGCTAAACCTGGGCCGGGCATGGTGGCACACCCCTACAACCTCTATCCCCACACTCGGGAGGCTCAGGCAAGAGGATCATGTGTTCTGGGCCAGCCTGGGCTACGTAGTGCAAGGCTGACCTGGCCTACACAGCAACTCTTTGTATCAAAAAACCAAAACCAAAATCAAAAGAATGCTAACTTGAAACCAGTTCATCCAGGCCAGTGTGGGACTGTGGGGGTGTGGCGCACTTTTCTGGTTTTCACTGGGGTGCCCCACCAGGGAGGTGCTCCGCTGGGCCCTCTTCGGCATGCGAGCCACAGGCCACGTGCTGCTTGGCACCTCCTGCTATGTGGAGCAGCTCCTGGACGCCACCGCCACTGAGGAGGCACAGCCCGCCAAGACCAGGGCCTCCTCCCTCCTCCCGGCCTGCCTGAAGCTTCTGCCATGAGGGCCGGAGCCTGGAAGGCTCCCTCAGCCACAGATGAGACTGCAGCCCAAGCACAAGCCGGAGCTGGAGGAGCTGCTCGCCTCCCTGCACCTGCTCACAGCACAGGAGCACACGCGAGGCGGAAGCAGGGTCTGGACGCCATCTGCTGGCTGTCACAGTTAACGTCGGGCTCCTAGCCTGCCCCACTCCTTCCTGCCTGGGCAGCTTAACTGAGCACCCTGACCACCCAGGAGGTGGCTGCCCTCTCCCCTCCGCCCTCTGTCTTCACGCTTACCACCCCTTCGCTCTCGCCATCCACCCGAGTCCTCCGGCAACTGTCACGCCCACCAAGGCTCCACATCCCAGTCTGCAATACACTTCTTATGTGACACATCTTTGCCTGTGTTCTTTGGGTTCTGTTAGAAGGCTGGAAGGGTCACACGAAGAGGAATCGGTTGCTATCCTCTATAATGTGGTGATACAGGAGACGGGCCTTTGTGATTTTAGAAGTCTACTGAATTTGTGCCTTGAGCAGACCACATAATCAACACAAGCACGTTTCCAAATGAAATTTCCCGATCAGAACAGCTTCAGCACAGAGGCTGCATTAAATCACTCCTAATCCCTCAGTGTCACATGTTATAATACCCTTTTAGGGTTTAGGTCAGGGAGTACTCGTCAAGTTATAAGGGTGCCACTTTTCACTAATGCCTGCCCTCGCTTACCTTACACATTCAGAATTTCTACCCTGAGAGTTTCGGTTTGAGCTGTGATCAGTGGCAGAGCATTTGCCTAGCATGGGGGAGGCCCTGGGTTCCATCAGCAAAACCCCCAAATAATGAGCTGGTCAGTAGCTCTGAAGAGGATGAGTTTAAGCTGGCAGCATCAGCATCAGATAGCGACAGAGGACAAGCATGAAAGTCTGTGATTCTCAAACCAGGCATGGTGGAGCACACCTGTAACTCCAGCACTCAGAAGGCTGAGGCAGGAGGATCACAGTGAGTTTAATGCCAGCCTGGGCTACATAGTGAGTTCAAGACCAGCTGAACTATATAGCAAGACCCTGTTGCCAAAAAAAAAAAAAAGCAAGAGAGAAAAAGAAAAGGTCTGTGATTCTCCGCTATAACTCCTTTTTGGATTTAGCAAATACTAAGACAAAGGGCCGAGTTGCCCAAACTTGCCTGGAAAGCTATTGCGGGAAGACACCCCCCACCCTGTGCAGGAAGTGCCGCCAAGGCCAGTGGAAGAGCATTTTCTGTTAAGGTTGGAGGCTGCTCAGGGCTGTGGGGTGGGGCTTCCGGCAGGGAGGCTTGAGGTCTCCGCCAGCACAGAGGCTGCTTCTGTACCCCTCCCATTCCTGACATTAAGAATAGTGAGGGGCATGCTGGTGTTTGTCCTAAGCTGCACTCCTCCCAGGACCAAGAGTTTCACAAGTCTTGAGACATTAACTGTTGTCTCTTGCACCAAGCCCTCTCAGCCAGGGGAAAAATATTTCTTTCTCTGCTTCCAGGAGCTTGGAGTCCAAGGAGTCAAAAATGTGGGAAAGGAAAGGGAAAATGTGGGTCTGATGAGCCTGGGGCTCAGGAAGGGAGGGTCAAAGAGCCAAGGTGCTGGTGCCTGAAGGGGGCCAGGCACATGCCTGGACCTGGTACTGCCCTCAGAGGAGGGGTCTGCAGTAGACAAGATGAGCTGGGAAGTGAGCCCTTGGCCTTAGGCGCTCCTCAGTCCTTGCCCTAACTGCTACTGGAGTGCAGACAAAATTTCAGAAGGCTCCTAAATGCCAAGAGCCTGTGACAAAGCACAGTCACCCCTCAGAAGGACCCCAAATAAGGAAAAAGCTGCTTGTAGTTTTTTTGTTTTTTTGTGGGTTTTTTTTTTTTTTTTGTCTTTTTGAGACAGTGTCTTGCAGTTCAGGCTGGCCTTGAGCTCACTTTGGAGCCCAGGCTGGTCTCGAACTCATAACAATCCTCCTGCCTCAGCCTCCTGAGTGCTGGGATTACAGGTGTGCGCCAGCATGCCCGGTGAGAATTTTGTTTTGAAAGCAATGCCACAGTGAACCTCTTTCTGCATCTGGCATTTTTCTGTTTAGAGATTATGCACCGGGTTTTGCATGTTTCTCTCTCTCTCTCTCTCTCTCTCTCTCTCTCCCTCCCTCCCTCCCTCCCTCCTTTTCTCCCTCTCTCCCTCCCTCTCTCTCTTTCTTTTGGTCTCTGAGACAGGTCTTGGTATGCAGTCCGGCTGGCCTTTAACTTGTAATCCTCCTGCTTCAGCCTTCCCATTGCTGAGATCACAGGCCTGAATCAGCACGCGGTTCAGGTTGTGTTTTTCGAAATGGGTTTACTGGACCAAAGAATGAAGCCGTTTTTTCTTCTTCCCAATTTCCCCTCCAAGATTGTGCATACTGATGGCTTTAAATCAGAGGGCTCCTGGGAACTGGTACGGTAATCTGAAAGTCTCGACCTGGCTTTTTCCTGGTTTGACCTTAAGACAAGTCGTCTACCCAGAGGAAATGGCTCCAAGGCTCCCGTGCCTCAATTTCCCCAGAACACAGGCGTGATCTCGTACCTTACCTTACCCGCTAGGGCTCAAACAATGTCCCTCCTCTTCGCGTTTCTGAGCCCCGCCTGCTCCGCATTCCGATTGACAGTCAGCCTGACCGATCAGCGCGCAGCAAGAGAGCATGGGGGCGGGGCTAGATGCGCACGCGCACAGCGCCTCCCGGGAAATGGGCGCGCTCGTGGCGTGGGGTCGGGGCGTGGGTGGCTGGCGGCTGGCGCTGGGAGCCCGCTTGCCGCCCTGGGACGCAGGCTTCTGCACTGAGCCCGGGTGATTGCGCGCCCTCCGTTTGCGTGGGAGGGAGCCGGGCGGGGGAGGGGTGTCGGTCTGGTTGTAACCCCGGCCCCGCTGCGTGGCGCCGGGGCTCCCTCGGGGCGGAGAGGCGGGCGCGAGGCTGCCCTCACGCTTGGCCCTTGTTTCCAGGCTTCAGTCGTGGCGCGGCGGCGACCGCGAGGCGCTGCTGCTCGAGCTGCGGGCCGCCGTGGTGGAGCACAGAGGTGAGGGTCCCGGCCCGCGCCGCTTCCTGCCGGGCACAGGCGGCTCTGTGCGCGGCCCGCCGGGTGGCCTCGGGAAAATGAGCTTGGGGCTCAGCCTGCATTTAGAGATTTGTTCATTTTTCTGCGCCATTTGTTGAGCAAGTGTCGTTTGGCTGATTTTCTAGGTGGGCTGCAAAGTGCCGGAAGGGGCAGATAGAGTTCCTGTCCTCGGGGAGCCCATATTCCAATGAGATTAATGTTCTGATGAATCACATTAATTACCAGCGATCAGTGTTCTGATTAAGCTCGGACGGGCTGTTAGGATGGCAGGGCCTCTGCGAGGGGGCAGACGTTACACTGAAGCCGGGATAACGTGCAGAAGCCAGGCTTGTGACGGGGACAGAGGAAAGACCGAGTGCGAAAGTCCGGAGGTGGCAGTGAGCTTGGCCTGTGTGAAGTGGGGTCTGCTCGTGTCTGAGAATCATCGGGGGGCCCGTGTTCGGTGAACAAGGTCACCTTCGAAGTCCTTCATACAGGTTTGCCAGCGCTTTTGTTGATGTCCATGCAATACTGTGTGTGTTTCAGGACCTCTGGTGACGCTGAACAAGCCGCAGGGTCTGCCGGTGACAGGTATGGGCAGCGGCGAAAAAAGGTGCGCAAAGGGGTGTGAGGGCCCTGAGGGGAACGGTGAACACACGGGCATGGGACGCCGCCTCGGCCTCTGGGAGCAGCCCATCCTTCCCCTCTCATTTCCAGGAAAACCTGGAGAGCTGACGTTGCTCTCCGTGTTGCCAGACCTGAGCCAGTCCCTGGGTTGTCCGAGCCTCCAGGTGATCCGAGCGCCGGGGAAGTGAGTGAAGGGCGGGGACTTCATTCTTTGAGGGGTAATATGTGGCAGACACTCTGCAGTTGGCAGCAGTTGTTAGGGCTTTTGGCGCTGAGCTCCCTGGGGCCAGGGCACATGAGAAACACATTAAGCTCTGTAGTCTGGGATCTTGTTTCCTAGCAGGTTTGGGGTGTAGTCGTGGTGGTTCTGTTGGGCCTTAAGCAGGTTTGTGTGCCTCCTAGGAACTCTCTCTGCGTGCCTAAGGGACTTTGAGTGATTTGTCCCTTTTCCAGGGAGACTTCTGGGCTTGTGCTCCTTTCCACTTGTCCCCAGACAGCGAGCCGTCTCCAGAAGTTCTTCATCCGCTCGAGGAGAGCCCACAGGCCCACAGCCACATACTGGTAAGCAGTGCTGGGAGGCTCCTTTGACAGTGGGGTGGTCCCCAAAGACCACTCCCTGACTCCTCTGCCCCCTTCCCAGGGCGGTTACCAATGGGATCCCGGATGCTTCTGAGGGGCAGATCCTCGCAGCGCTGACACTGCAGCACATTGGTGGTGTCAGTGTCGTAAGTTGGGGTCAGCAGGGAAGAGGCAGGTCCCTCCATGTGTGTCACCCTACATGGGCAGGCAAGTGGCCCTACCTGGATGTGGCCTGTCCCCGAGTCTGCAGGGAGTGGGCAGACCTGGGATATTGTACTAGGTGTGTGTGAAGCTTGCTCATCTTCTGCTGATTCCATAGGTGATTCCGGTGAAGTGCCCATCTCGAAGGGACCTCTTGGAGGGTGTCAAGAGGACCCTCAGCCACTTCCGTGTAATGGCCACAGGCTCTGGCTGTGCCCTGATCCAGCTGCAGCCCCTCACATGTGGGTTTGGAGCCCCAGGCAGCCTTTAGAACAGCACTTGGGTCAGCGAGGGGGGCAAGGGTGACTTAGCAGCAGCCTAGGGAGTGTCTGAGGGACCTCAGAGGGATGTGGCCAGGCCCAGCCAGAGGAGGCAGCTTCAGGCTTCCACACACATAGCTCAGCTCCGAGTAGGAAGGAGCAGCTCCGTCCCGGGTAGCTTCAGCAATCCAAGGGTGTGGCCACAGGCTGATGGTTGGCCGCCCTGCTGGTCCTGGCCAGCTCCATGCCCCTCTGTGGAGGCAGAGCCGCCTCACCACTTCCCTGTGACCTGAGTACAGGGCTGGTGTTTCCCCAGGAGGGAAGGGGGACATCACCACCTGTCCTGTCTCTCCTGTCACCCAGTGTTCCCCAGTCAGCTGCAGGTACACATGATGCTGCAGCTCTGCCCTGTGCTTGGGGACCACACCTATTCTGCTCGAGCGGGCACTGTCCTGGGCCAGCGCTTTCTGTTGTCTGCTGAGAACACTAAGCCTCAAAGACAGGTATCCAAGGCCTGCCCCTTTTAGAGTGGGGCTGGGTGGCAGCTGGGGACGAGGGGGGCTGGCACCCACAGACTGGCTGTGCAGCTGGGGACAGGAGGTGGCCCTCTCAAATCCAAGCTGTCTAGATCCCTGTCTTGCTGTTTTTTGGGCAAATGACAGCTCTCAGGCCTCCTTCTGCCCATCTGTTCAGTGAGGGAGGTGAAGCCACTGACTTCCCCACTTTGGGTCTGTTTGGCACATGGGACAAAAGAGGATGTGTGTATCAGGGTTGCTCTGGCAACCCCAACACCCGCACAGGGTGCAGCACTACTCTCCTTGTAATCTGGGGATGGGGTACGCACAGGTTTTGCCCCACCCTTCACACGGGGCCCAGGGCTGTGGCTGTCCAGCCAGATGGGGGCAGTGGTGGTCCTGCCCATGAAGGTTTCAGCAATTCCTTCTTCCACTGCTTTCCAACCCGCTGATGCAGAGCTCCCCCGGCTGAGAGAAGGGCTGAGGGTGGGGTGGGGTTGAGCTGTGTGTTCTGGAGAAATGATCTGGCAAAGCCCTAACCATGAACGTGCGCAGAGGGAGGTGGACTGAGCCGCAGTTGGCTGCAGGGGGAGGAGAGAGGAAGTGCGCAGCCACCTGGAGCTAGGGTGCTTAAGTCTGCCCTGTCTCTCCCACCCAGGCCCTGGATGATGCCCTCCTCAGACGCCTCCACCTGACCCCTGCCCAGGCCGCACAGCTGCCCTTGCACCTGCACCTGCACCAGCTGCTCCTCCCCGGCAGCAGGCCTGCCGATGCACCCATCGAGCTGCGGGCACCCCTGCCTCGGTATTTCTCCAGGACCCTGCAGTGTCTGGGGCTCTGCCAGCAGTAGTCCCCTCTGTGTTGCCCCCAGAAAGCAGGGGATGGAGGCCTCTGGCCAGGCCCAAAGGATGGGGTCACTGTCAGCTGCTGTAAGGCCATGGCTTACGTCCCAGATATGTGTCTAGGCAAATCTGAGAACAGGTTTTGGGATGTCAGGTGGGTGACTGCTCTGTGGACTTGAAATAATAAAAGGTTCTAACCTCATGGTCTGGTCATCTTTGTGTTTTTGAGACAAGGTCTCTGTGCGTGACCAGCTTGCCTCCCACTGGTCCTTCCCTCTGCTTCCCAGTGAGCTCTATCCCAGCCCTTCCTCACTATGTTTGAGTGTGTGGCATTAAGTACACTTAAATTGTGTACTTAATATAATACGTGACCATCATGTCTTCAGATCTGTTCATTTTGTAAAACTAAAATTCTGTCCATGAAACTCTAACTTGCCATTGCCCCTACAGCCAGCTCTAGTAGCCACCATTCTGCATCTCTATGGAATTGGCTAGTACCTCATCTACATTGTTATATCTTTTAAAGAGCCCAGCACTGGGAGGCTGAGGCAGGATCACAAATTTGAAGTTAGCCTGGGCTATGTGATGAGACCTTGTCTCAAAAAACAAAAAATTTAAATTTTAAAACTTGTGGAAGCTGGGCATGATGGTGCTCGCCCATAATCCCAGCACTCAGGAGGCTGAGGCAGGAGGATCACTGTGAGTTTGAGGCCAGCCTGGGCTACACACTGAGTCCAAGGCCAGTCTGAACTACATAGTGAGACCTTCTCTCGAAAAAACAAGAACTTGTGAAGCCATGGCCCAGTGTGCTGGCACACACCTGTAATCCAGCACTCAAGAGGCTGAGGTAGGAGGATTCTACAAGTTTGAGGCCAACCTGGGCTACAAAGTGTGTTCAAGGTCATCCTGAACTGCATAGCAAGACCCTGTCTCAAAAAGACCCCCACCACCCCCGCAAAAAAAAGGCAGGCATAGTGACATACACCTGTAATCCCAGCACTTGGGAGACAGGCAGGAGGATTGCCATGAATTTGAAGCCAGCCTGGGCTACATAGTGAGTTCAAGGACACCTTGAACTACATAGCAAGACCCTGTCTCAAAAAACAAAATTTGTGGGATAGGGTTAGGGGTATTAGTAGTAGGGTGGCAGAGCTCATGTTCAGCATATGCAAGGCGGGGTTCAGTCCCCAGCACCATACAATACACACAATAGTGAAACCTCAAAGATACACTGTGCCTGAATCTCTTGATTTAAAGACTAATGATAAAGTGACAGCCACATAAGCCCCATTTGGGCCACAGAATAGACAGTCCTCTCCTTTCAGAGTAGCAATTCTCAACCCTGAACCAACATGAGAATCCTCCCCCTTGGGTAGCTTAAATCTACATCCTTGCCATGGCACTACCCCAAGATCTGGTTTAGTTGGCCTTATGTAGAGACGCTGGCATCAGCCTTTTTCCATTAAATGTTTTTTGCAGTGTTGAGGCTGGAGGCCATGGCCTCATGTACTAACACGCCCTGTACTGTGGAGCCATACCTTCAATCTTGTTTCAAAAGTTCCCCACAGAGTTCTGTCCAGTCTGGATTGGAGACTCCTGCCTTGACCTGGAAGGATTCTGTCCATGCTCTCTAAAGTTACCAGGAGGCTGAGACAGGATTGCACTGACTTTGAGGTCAGCCTGGGCTACACAGTGAATCCGAGCCAGCCTGAACTACATAGCAAGACCCTGTCTCCAAAAAAAAAGTTTTACCACATACTTACGTTTCCACAAATGAACTCATACTGCACCCATTCTCTTGGGACCTGTTCTCTCCACACGTGTGTGTGTGTGCCATGCACACGCAGCTGGAACCCCAGAGGTTGAGCAGACTGCAGGCACCTGTTCCCTGTCACTGGTCAGCGCTTCCCCTTGGCTGTTGTGCAGTGCTGCTGTGAGCCCGCTGGGTGCATTTCCAACTCCAGGTATGCATGAGTTTTGGGGTCAGAGTCACAGTGTTTATCTTCAACCTGACAGATACCTCCTAGAGCTGCCCTGACAAACTGTCACAACCGAGCAGCTTAAAATCACAAATGTGCTCTCTTGGCTCTGGAGGCCAGAGGCCCAAGCCACGCTCCACGGAGAAGGCGTCCTCATTCTCATGGCTCCACCTGCCCCCTGGCTTGTGGCCAACTCACAAGAGTCTCCACCTCCAGCTCTTTCTTCTTCCTGCCTTTCCTTCCTCCTCTCTTTTCTTCTTGCTCCTTTATTTTGCGGGGAGGGTGTCCTGGGGATTGGACTCTGGGCCTAGCGTAGGCTAAGCACATGTGCTGCCACTGAGCTACACCCCCGGTCTCTGTTTCCAGTTTCCCATAGCTTTTGCGGGAGTTAGGAATACACCACCCTGGCCCGTTGACTAGTCCAGGTCAAAGACACTTGAAAGACAGCAGGTATAAGATCACTCTGACTGCCAGGTATGGTGGCACACACCTGTAATCCCAGCACTTGGGAGACTGAGGCAGGAGGATTAATGTGAGTTTGAGGCTAACCTGGGCTACACAGTGAGTTCAAGGTAAGACCTTATCTCAAAAAACTGAAAAAAAAGAAAAAGATCACTTTGACCTTTGCGCCATTTCTTAAAAGCACAGGAAATTCCCACAGGACAGATGCCCTTCCTTGGAGGGTGGAGGGTAGGAGGGGAGGGAGAGGGTATGTAAAAAGAATTAAGATGTGTTATGTACATGTTCTAACTCCCTATGATAAAGTGATCATTATCGGTCACAAACATGTACTAATTAAAATAAATATTTTTAAAAAACAGAAGAAAAGATGCTTTTTCTACACTAGCAAGGTACAACATCCTTATCCCAAAGGATACAAAGTCAAAATCCAGAGAATTCTTTACAGACCTTGTTAAAATAATTCCAGTGCTGGATGTAACTCAGCAGTAGAGCCATGCATTTAGTTAGCATACACAAGGCCCTGGATTCTAACTCTAGCACTGAAAAACAGAATTGTTTTTTGTGGGGTCTTTTTTGAGATAGAGTGTCACTATGTAGTTCAAGCTGGCCTCAAAGTTGTGGTCATCTTCCTGCCTCAGCCACCATGCCTGGCTAAAGTTATTTTTTATTTTTGTTTTGTTTTTCTTCCGGTACCGGGAATCGAACTCACGACCTTGTGCTTGCCTGGCAAGCGCTGTGCCACTGAGCTAAATCCCCAGCCCCTAAAGTTATCTTTTAAATAAAAATAAATCTGGACACACAAGGTATGGTGGTGCCCAACTGTAATCCCAACACTCAGGAGGCTGAGGCAGGCAGATCCTTGCAAAGTTCGGGAGGCCAGCCTCGGCTACATAGTTCAAGGACAGCCTGGGCTACAAAGTGAGAGTGTGTCTCAAAAAACAAAACAAAACACTGTCCCACCCCTGAGAAATAACATAGTTTACAACAGTGTTTGGTCAAGGTAATTCTCTCCTCTGTGGCTGTCTGTAATCTTACTGGTTGATTGTAATTTGACCCATATTGTAGGCACCCCTCCTGACTTTGCTCTATAAAACTTCTGAGTTGGCAACCCATCAGGACCTTCCTGTCTCTCAGGAGCTGCTCCTATTCCCATCCCTATTCCCCAATACATTTTCCTACTCTTAAAAAGAAAGAAAAAAAAAAAAAGAAAGAAAGAAACAAAAGCTAGATGTGGTGGCTCATAACTGTAATCCCAGCCATCTGGGAGCCCAGTATGGGCAATTAAGCACCTTAGAGGGACCCTGTCTTGAGGAAATGGAGATGTAGTTCAGGTACAAAGGCCCTGGGTTCAATCCACTGTAACAACAAAATAAAATAAGAATGATAAAGTAAGTCCTATCTTTTAAGACTGCCCATATAAATTAGTTGCTTCATTACAATTATTTTCTGTCCAATCCAGCATTATAAGTCCCCTATCCAAGTACTATCCAGGCCTGACCATGCTTAGCTTCTGAGATCAGGCGAGACCAGGCGTGTTCAGGGTGGTATGATCGTAGACAATCCGGCATTATAAGTAACTGACTCTAGTCCCTCTTTGGGTCTTCATTTATGAGGATTCCTTGCCACGTGAGCTTATACTAAATAAATTTATATCTTTTTCTCCTATTAATATGTCCCACATAATTTAATTTCAGACCCAGCCAAGACCATACAAGGATGGAAGAAGAATTTTTCCATCCCTACACCTTGTTTCATCTCATCTGATTTTTTTTAGGGGCTAAAGGTACTGCTGTTTGAACCAGGGCCTCACACTGAGCTACATCCCAGCCACTCCTCTCCTTTTGAGACAGTTTCACTGAATCGCCTAGGTGGGACTCAAGTGAAATCTTCCTGCCTCAGGCTCCCAAATGCTGGGATTACAGGCATGCACCACCATGCTTGGCTTCTTCTGACTCTTATAAGGACACTTGTTGGGTTTGGGGCCCACCCAGATAATCCCAGATGCTCTCATCTCATCAATTTAACTATACTTGCATGACCCCACCCAAGCACAGTCACACTTTAGATATCTCGGGGTGCCCAACCTCGGGGCACCATTCAACCCACTACTACCAGGAGATGCCAGACTCCGTAACAAGGGTGTGGCTGGGAGGTTTCAGTTTTAGGGACTTGGACTCCTCGCAGAGGAAGGGAAGGATCCATGTCCTCAGGAGGAGCGGAGTTCAGGCAAGGTGACCCTGTCCCCCGCTCCTGTTGTTACGTCCCAGTGCCTGTCACCCTGCCAGTCTGGCTTGTCCTCTGGGACTGGGGGGCTCCTGGTGGCCAGAAGAAGGCCCCCACCTTCCACTCACTGCCACAAGGTCTTGGGCAAGCCAAGCTCTCCAGACTGCGTCTTCCAGACTCGGCTTCTCATCTGTGTAGTCCCTGCACAGAAAGCGTAGAAGTTCCCTGCTGGAGATTCAGGCTCTGGCTCTTGCCCTGGCTGGGCCTTCAGGGAGAGGTCTCCCCCCGCCTGCCCTCCATAGCAAGGGAGCCAACCCAGAATACTCCATTTGCTCCTTTTTATTTGGTGCTGAATCCAGGCCAGGGCCAGGGGTTAGACCTGGGGTTTCTCCAACCTCACATTCCCGGTGGCCCCCTGGGTCCCAGTGGAGGTCATGGGAGGCTCAGCCTCTTTAGAGTATATGCCTGGGCCTTGGGTTTGTCGCATGGTCTGGCCTTGAACTTGCCCTTGGCCTTGACCCTCCTAGGGGTGCTAGGAAGAGGTGCAGCATCAAAGAACACAGGGTACAAGGCACTTCCAGAACGGGGGCCTCGAGGGCACTGAGGAGCAACAGCCTCGGTTTGAGAGGAGAGGAAAGGAGAGAGGATCAGGGGTCTGTCTGGGAAGAGAGTTCTGGGACTGCCCTCTGCCTGTGCCCTCCAGCCCTGACCCCAGTGCCCGTTGCTGCCTGTCAGAGAAAGTCACAGTTCAAGGCCCACCTTTTTCAGCTTTGGGATGCTGGGCGCCAGCTTGACGGCAGGGTTGGGTGGGAGGCAAATGAAAACCTTGGCCGTAGGCAGAGTCAGCAAGGCCTTGCCTGTGGACGACAGGGCCTTGGAGCCCACCAGCGCGCAGAGCTGCGGTCTGAGGCCCCGCCCACAGGGTCGCAGTGCAGGCAGCTGGACCCTGGGCTGGAGGCTGGGGACAGGGGGCAGGGCTGTAGAGCAAGGGACACTGTGAGGACAGGGAGGTCTGGCTCACGGCTGCCCCACAGGGTCATGGGTGGAGAGGGTATGAGCATAGGGCTGGGGGCCCACAGACCTGGGTCTGCATCCCGGCTCTGACCCTTCTGAGCTCTGCAACCTCGGGCAACTTCCTCACACTTCCTGCTACCTGGGCTGGAAAGTGGGGGATAGCACCCACCTCACTAGCTGCTATGAGGACAGAGGAGCCGGGCAGGGGTCCACTGCTAAGCGCTATAGAGCTTCTTTCCTGTCGCCCCAACTCTGCCCAGAGGCAAAGGCAGAATTTTGCAAACACCGGGCTCTGGGCCACAGCTGGCTAGCAGCCCCTCCATGTGACTGCCTGGCTGGGGACTGCTCTGCAGGGACAGTACTTACAGGGATGTATACTTATAAAGAAAACTTGGTGAGCCACAGCTTTGACTGGGGCTCCTTGGTGGGCAGGCAAACCTGGGTGGCTCAGAGGGGCTTGGAGAGCAGCAGAAGTCACCGCAGGACCCCAGGCTGTAGGAGAGTGTAGGGGTCTTCAGGAGCAAAGGTGGTTGGCCTGCTCAGGACTGGGGCTCTTTTTGCCTTGCCTTTCTTCCCCTTTCCGGGGACCGAGGTAGTGGCAGCAGAGGCTGGCTTTTCCATGTGCCCCTGGCTCCTGTCCCCAGCAACTTTCCTAGAAGCTGACCTGTGGGTAGGGGTCCCCGAGTCCTTGCCTTCCCCAGAGCCTCGCCGGGTCAGCAGATGAGGAAGTGTAGGGCGGACCCCCGTCTTTCGATGACTCAGGGCCAGGGGCTTCTTGATGGTGGAGCCCTTCACCAGGAGCCGGATGCCCACATACTGTGGCACCTCCACTGCAGGCTGCAGACAAGAAGAGGAGACAAGGTCACTCAGACAGCAGGCCAGGGACACTCGGCCTGGGAGGTGCTGGGGCAAAGATGGACGAAGCAGTTTCTGAGGCCCTGGTCAGAACTGGAAGGCCTCCTTCCAGGTGTCGCCCCAGGTGTCCCAGAGCCCCTCGGCCATTCCCACTGTTTGCCCTCTGCCCCAGGGGAATATGTCTGTGGCTCCCCTCCTGGAGCCCACCAAGGAAGCACTGTCCAATCCACACACGACGCAGGAGGAGCAAGTGCTGACAGCCACACAGCTGCAGCACTCGGGGCTGCCCAGTTACGGGGACAGAAACTACCAGGCTTAGGACGGCGGAGGGAGCTGGGTGTGGTGGCATATGCCTGTAGTCCCAGCTGCTCGAGAGGCTGAGGTGAGGACAGCCTGGGAGCTTAGACCGACCATCCCAGAATCTGTCCAGTCCCCAGAATCCTGCAGTGTGCTAGAGCCACCAGAGCTGCTGGGCAGCCCCAGCAGACAAGGAAAAGCATCCTTACAGAGTTGCATTTAATGAATGTAAAATGGACAACATGACTCAAGACTGACTGTATATATATATATATATATATATATATATAAATATTTTTGGTGGCACTGGAGATTGAACCCAGGGCCTTCATACAGAGCTACCTCTCTAGCTCTCCCTTTCTGGAATTTTGAAGCAGAATCTCACTAAGTCTCTAATTTGTCCAGGCTGAGCTCAAACTTTCGATTCTCCTGTCTCAGGCTCCCAGAGTACTGGGACTATAGGCATGTACCCATCACCATCCTCAGCTTTTATTTTCTTTTTTTGAGATGGGTTAGTGCTAAATTGCCCAGGCTAGGCTGAGCATGGTAGCGCACACCTGTAACCCCAGCACTTGGGAAGCTGAGGCAGAAGGATCACTGCAAGTTTGAGGACAGTCTGGGTTACAAAGTAAGTTCAAGGCCAGCCTGAACTCCATAGTGAAACCCTGTCTCAAAAGGACAAAAAAAAAAACAAA